TCTATATGAGGATCAAAGTGACAACAGCAACTCGAAAGATTAGATAGGAACCTTAGGAGGCAGTGAATTTACGTTAATAGGAGAGGAACAACTCAGAAAAGGAGGGTGAGAATGGATGCACAACCCAGAGAATGTAATCAATGTCAGTGCGATGTACATGTAGAAACGGCTGAATTGGTGTATGTTTTGCTGTGTATATTCTCAACAACAACAAATTTTTTAAAAAAAGAATGAGGCACAACTTGAAGAATGTAATCAATGTTACTGAATTGTACATGTAGAAATTGTTGAAATGGTATATCTTTGGCTGTGTATACTTTCACCAAAATAAAAAATAACAATAATAAAAGAAGTCTGGAAGACCATGGACCAGGATGGGGCCCCTGCTATGTGCTCCCACAATCCCCTGCTTCCCTGTCATTGCTTTTATCACACCATATTAGATTGTCTGACTTTCCTAGTAGAGAGTGAGCTCTTTGAGGGCAGGGAACACTTGTTTTGCTCACTTAATCCCTAGCACCAAGCACAGTACTTGACCACAGCAGATGCTCAATAAATACAGGGATGATTGAAATGAAATAGACCCTACCCTGAGGGTCTATTTCACAAGGAGAGTGGCCATTGCCTAAGAGATATACAAATCAAGTGTCATTAGAGTTTTTTCCTTTAGACAACTTCTGGATTGATCTCCTGTAGGAGGAATATTCGAGGGGGACCCTGAAGAATTTGGACATGCGAAGATGACCTAGGGGCATTGTAGGTGGCAAGAGCACTATGAACAAAGGCCTGGAGGAGGCAGGAGAATTTAGAGCAGGTCCCACAAACTGCTCAGTTTGGAAGGTAGGCTCATGAAGGACAGAGCAGATGAGACATCTGTGCCACCTACAACCATCCTCTATGGGGAGGAGAGTCTATATTTTGCAGAACATCAAAAAAGGAAATTCTAGAATCTTCCAGCCCTTTTTTAATTCCATTGCAAGAAACCCTTCCTTTTATCAATATTTTCTTTCTATCTTCATATTAGTCATTTCTTTTTGCTTTGCTCTTAGAGGACTAAGAGCAGCTAATCACTATGCTCTGCAGAAAAAGCTTTGCAGCTTTAAAAATCATTTCAAAGTATCAGAAATCAGTAACACTGGCCTATTAGCTAGGAAAAGGGCTGATATGGGCCAGCCGTGTATGCCAGGTGAAAACCTGAGACCAGTCCATATTCACCTGTGAGGTCAAATGCCACACAGTTGCTTTTGGGAAGCATATTATTACACCAAATCATTTCCACTTGTCAGGCTAGGATAATAAATCACATATATTTTTAGGACCTAGATCAAGATGGCAAGTAAAAAAGTAGATCCACAGTGTTACAGAGAGATAATTAAGGTAGGAATCAATGTGATTCATAAAAGATTGTTTGGATTATCCTTGCTCAGAACCCTCCAATTAGGGCATATTTGGAATCACTCAGAACAAAGAATAGATGATAGGCCAGAAACAGCAAGAACAAAAAGTCGACCTAAATTAACATTGGTGCGTGAATGTGGCCCAGGAAAAGGGCTCATTTTATAGGCACAGCAGTTAGGGCAACACTAGGGCTGACAGACATGAGACAGAAATTAGGAATGGTGGGGGGGGGAGGTTATTGTTTGGCAAGCAGACTCCCAGCATAAGAGGCCCTGTGATGTCAAAAGTCCCTTGTGCTTAGCTGACATCAGAGGCAAGGGCAGGAGATAGTTAAGGAGTCTTAACCCAGTACATACAGTGCCCACTCTGTTTTTCCATTCTCTTCCACAGCTCATTATCTGGGAGAAGTTCTAACAGGGGGACACCCACAGGGGAAATGCCAGCCACAGAAGCCACAGATAGTGCTGTTGGTCTCCTGGTGGCCCAGGGGGAGAGAAAGCAGTTGGTCCACTTCCTGCCCTCAAGAGCGCCCCTCCCTCCCAGCTGACCCCTATCACTGGCCCTGCACTGGCCAGTTATTTCCTCCTCAAATTTTATTTTTAATTTTTGTCTTCCTAGGGAAGACAAAAAATGTAACTATGTCACTCAGGAGCCCCCTCAGAGAAGGACACTCAGCAATAGCGTTAACCTCCCAGCTCTGCGTGGGCCTGGCAGGTTCCTATCAAAACTCACCAATTCATCCACAAGTGCCCAGGTTCTTCACCCCCAGATCCCTGGGGGGACAGGAGAACTCTGTTATTGAGGGCACCTCCACTGCACATAGGTATAGACCCAGTGGCCTCTGGGGGAACCTGCCCTTAGTCATGGGAAGGGAGTGTCTGTCCCGCAGCCCTTTGGAAGCCCCATGTAGTGCCCGAAGGTCAGAATGTATGTATCGACCCTGCAGAGCTCAGCCATACCTGCCTACACAGGGACAGATGGCAGAGGACTAAGGGACATGGAAGCAGTGTCCATCCTGCCCCTAGGATGGCTCTTTGGTGCCATTTGATGCCCATTCCCATCTAAACTAGTGGTCCCCAGTCCAAAAGGAATGGAGTAAAGGAAGCTGTGTTACAGACATTCTCACCTCCCCATAAAGTACAAACACTTTCTCTGTGGCCTGCTATCACTGACAGGAGCTTGGCTTGGGCCACCTAGCCAGGATTCTCCATACTACTTCCCAATAAATGCAGCCCAATAAAAGTCTCAGTTCCCAGGAGGGCTGCTTACAAGAGGCACAGTAAGTGTAGATGGGAATGCTGGGTTATAGGTAAATGTCTTGCCTACAATCTACAGCAATGCCAACTCTAATTCTACTTAACAGGGAGGCAGCCTCCCCGACCTCAGTCAGGGGAAGGGGACTGTGGGAGACAACTGCTTGAAACTTAACCCAGTGTAGGAAGTAAAGGCCTTCATTGGGTGTGACTCTTTGGATCTAGGTTCATAAACATGTCACTCTAGCCTTTCAGGAAGGAGTCAAGGAATATTTAAAAAGAGATTCTGTGAGTGGGAAATGTTTAATAGAAGATGTGTGCACATCGAGACAATACTGTGCACACAAGTAATGGTTCTAAATAGAACCTACTATACAAAATTCAGTGTTTCAAAATAAATAAAAGAGATCATTCCCTTTTTAAAATATTCAACCCACAGGTTTTCTTTTTAAACACCCAAATTCTTTAGCACGTTTAAAATAAGGTCGTACTGTTTAAAACTTTGAATTACCAGATATTTCCAGAAAGTTGCCTATTGAATGCACATCAGAGTTTGCTCAGAGGAATGGACGGTGATCCTTGACTCCTCTGCTAGCCTGCTTTATGCGCCACTCTGAGTCACTATGGGCTCAGGTCAAAATTAAAACATGGCAGGGAAAGCCCTTTGAAATTATAAAGCACTAGCTACATGCCAAATATTATAAATATCAAATACCAATTCTGTAGTATGCTGCCTAGGATTTGCTTCAAAATAATAGGGGGAGGGGTTAAGGGGAATTCGTAAAGCAAAACTGGTCATAAGCTGACAATTGTTGAAATTGGTACTGCGTATATATAGGGATTCATTATACCATTCTCTCTACTTTTGTACCTGTTTGAAATTCTCTATTACATAAAGTTTAATATATATATAAATATATGTATATATTTTTTATCATCTAGGTGGAACCTTAAACATTTGTACTATAACCTGTTTTCATTTGCCATATGAGAAAAATCAGCCCAGAGAGGTTAAGTGACTTCCTTGAGGTCACACAGCTAGCTGCAGAGCCAGGCGCAAAATTCAGAACTCCCTACTCTGGGTTCCTTCTATAGCCACACACCAGGGATCCTCAGGCAGGAGTGGGCTCCTCTGGCTACTCTCCCCAATATCCCTAAATTTTTCAAGCTCCCAGGTGTGTCTGAGAACATGCTGGAAAAGGGAGGGTGCTTGACAGACCTGGAACCAGAAGCAGCCCTGGGCACTTTCCAAAATGAACAGGGGAGGAGGGGAGGTTTTTGCCTGGCCTGCTCTGTCACTGACACCTGGAGCAAAAGTACCCAGCGAACCTGACCTTGGCCTGTGAGACAAGCTTATTCTGCCCTCCCACCCCCACTTCCAACCCGCCTTCCCGCTGCTGAAATACCAGGACTCTAGGCGATGAGGTTTTTGGATTGCCAGGTGTTCAGGGATTGAAGGTGATTATTACTCACCCACCCGAGAGCGCGGGGGGATCCTAGAGGTGTAACTATGAAGTTTACAGCGTCCCTCGCCCACAAGTAAGGTCCTTGTTCGCTAATTGAGCAGACGCAAGGGCCGGCAAGGAGCCGCCACTGAGCGCCCTAAACCAGGGTCGAAAAGCTAAGCGAGGGGTCCGAGATCAGACTGGCCTCCAGGAAGGAGACTTTTGTGACTTTGACCACTAAGAATAACTGGGGGGTTGGCACGGATGCCAGGTACCTGGGACGCTGAGCATGCCAGGGTGACCCGGCCGGGCTCGAGCTGTGGGTGTCCTAAACCCAAGCCGATGGCCGGGGCACATGAAAGGAGAACGACCCCAAGCGTGGGGAGCTGTGACGTTCCAAGTCCCCGTCACATTCTGAGGCCCTGTCACATTTGGTTGTGTTTGGAGAACTGACCGCGCACACTCCCCCAGCTGCCCCAGCCCATCCAGACTCCTTAGACCCTCCACTCCCTACTCCGGTCCGGGATCTGAGGGTCTGAGGATTCCTCAGATTCTCACTAGCTTCTCCACCGGGCTCCCTCTGTCCTTCCTCCCCGCACCTGCGTGCACGAATCTCCCTTATATCCCTTTGAGGGGCGACTCGCCGCAGGTCTCTACTTCCTCTCACCATAAAGGGTACAGGTACCAGGTGACCCCGCCCAAGGGTACGGACCCCCCTCTGACTCTGAACTGACAACCTATCCCCACCCCTTGGAGACTTCGAGCTCCGCAGACCCAAAGAGAAGCTCCACCGTGTAGGGTTCGCCCCGCGTAGACTCGGCTCCGGGGCCGGGCACCTGCCCCGCGCCCCCAACCCCCGGCCCCAGACGCCCGGCCCCAGACCCCCGGCCCCGGGAAGGCTCACCATCGCGGCGGTCCTCCTAGCCGCCCGCTCGCCTCGCAGCTGGGCCTGCCCACCCCAACTGCTCCAGATACTGCCGCCTCCGCTGTTGTGACACACTGGGCGGGAGGGGGCCGGGGACAGACATGCTGGGCCAGCAGCTGCCCTGCAGCATCACAGTGCCCGACGAGGGGAGGGACCGGGGTAGGTCACAATTGCTCCTCCCCGCCCACCTGGGATCCTGGATGCCGCTCCGCCCCGCGGCAGTCCTGTTTGTTACCAAAGCACACGTGGACATATTCTCAACAGGCACTCCGTGAGATCGATCATAATAATCTAGCCGTTTAGGAAACAAATGTTAGGCAAAATGTTCCTTTCTCCCCAAACTTCCATTCTCCTCCTGCGCCAAACACAAGCCAAAGTGAGGAAGAACTGGCCCAAGCAGGGCAGGCACCTGGTCGGGTTTTAGTTGACTGGAGTCACCCTCAGCCCAGGAGAGGGGAGGAGTAGTCAAGGGTCGTGCGGGCTCACTGGTGGGAGGAAGAGGTTCCAATCTCAGCTATGCTGCTTATTATCCGTGTACTTGGGCAAGTTGCTGAACCTCTGCTCTGGAAGTCTGTTACTTTATCAAGGCTTGCTTGGTTACTGGAGAATTAAATGAGGTAACATATACAAAGCTCCTGGTACACAGCAGGTGTCCAATACATGTTGAATACATGTTGGTTCCTGTTTCTACTACTCTACCAGTGTACCTCTCCCTAACCTCCCCCCATCATTTTTAACAGTTTGCACTCAACTACTAGTAGGAATCCGCTCGTCAGCAAACGGGTTTTTTTTTTTGTTTGTTTACTAACCTAAAGATTGGCAGTTGGAACCCATCCAACTGCACTGGAAGAAAGGCCTGGCCATCTGCATCCATAAAGATTATAGCCAAGAAAACCCTGCGGAGCATGGGATCATCATGAGTCAGAATTGACTGGACGGCAACAGGTTTGTGGGTTTTTGTTCCTCCCGTGATCCATTTATCATCAAGAGAAAGCCAGAGAAACGGTGAACGTCTGGACAGATTTGGAGCCACACAGTCCAGCTGCCCCTTCTCTCAGGCAATTCTCCTTCCAGAGCCAGCCTTGGAGGGTGTGTGTTGTTTTGTTTTAAATTGGGGAAAGCTCTGGTTCTTCACCTGCTCCCACTCCTCCCAGCTGGCTGCTATCAAAAACTGCACATTTGTTAGAGTGGGAGAAAAATGTAGAACAAATTCAAATTTCTAAGAAAAGCCAGACTTACTGGACCAATGGAGACTAGCGGAACCCCAGTGACTATCGCTCTAAGATACTCTTTGAACTGAAGCTACTCCTGGAGGTCACCTTTCAGCCAAATAATAGATCGGCTTATAAAACAAACAACATCACCCGTGAGTAATGTGCTCCCTTGAGCAATCAACTATATGAGATCAAATCGTCAACATTTACCCAAAAGCAAAGATGAGAAGGCAAGGAGAGGAGAGGAAGCTAGATCAACGGAAACGGAACAAACAGAATGGAAATAATGAGAATGCTGACACATTGTGAAAATTATAACCAATGTCATGCAACAATTAGTATAAAAATTGTTAAATGGAACCCAATTTGCTGTGTAAACTTTCACCTAAAGCACAATGAAGTATTAGAAAGAAACAAACTGCACATTTGAGAGCAGCATCTCATTAACTTTTGACCCCTGTTTAGCTGACCTTCACTAGGAGGGGGTAGCCCTTTATTAAGCAGACATCAGTCAGTTACGTAGAACTCAGCGAGAATGAAAGCTCTGAGAACCTGAGCACTGGGCACCTGTGGCTGAAGGTCAAGCACAGACTAGCTAACAGCAGGGGACAGTGAGGTCAGGCCTAAGAGAAAATTCACCTTCTTCACAAATTGACTCTGAGCCTGATTAGAAACAAGCATCAAAGATCTTACCCTCACTGCCCTAAGGCTCTATTACAGATCAGGTAACCACCTTCTTCAGCTGCCAGCCCCTGAAAAAGCACCAAAAGGTCTGTGTGGGATAAAGTGGCACCATAGAAAAGATAAGGCAGTTGAGTCATTATTTCTTTCTCGCTGAGGCCTTGGTATTCTGTACATAGTTAATTCTTCACTTTGCTGGGTATTTCCTTCCTATTCGATACTACAACAATTAGTTGAATTGTCTCATTTTTTCAGTTATTTCACATATTGCTACTGGTATTGCAAAGTGGTCCAATCTTCCTGGATCACACCCTGGCAGTATGTTACCAGAGCTGTAAACTGTTCTCCCCATGATGTTGTAAACTCATTTTGGGAAATTATCCCAAGAAAAATGACTCAGAAGGAAAATAATAGTGCTGTCAGGAGCCCCGGTGGAGCAACAATCAAACACTTGGCTGCTAACTGAAAGGTTGGCAGTTCGAACTCACCCAGTGGCTCTGAGGGAGAAAGACCTGTCAGTGTGCTCCTGTAAAGATTACAGCCTAGGAAACCCTATGGGGCAGTTCTGCTCTGTCATATGGGGTCGCTATGAGTCAAAAATCAACTTGACAGCACACAACAACATCTCAATTGGTTTATCCAGCAATTAATGGCTTCACAGCATTTTCATATGCTATTCGTGTAGAGCTGTTCAGAGCTGTGTTATTCATACTGGCAAACAGTTGGAAAGAACTATATTGGCCACCATCTTAATAAGAAGGAACAGTGCATGGCTACTGATAAGGTAAGGAAGTGGATAATGTTGGAAGCTCAATAGATGATATTGTTAAATGAAAAAAAAGGCAGAATTCGAAGTTGTAGCTATATGCTGATAATAAACAAATATGAACATATATTGAAAATCAGAAATGTAGACTATTTTCATAGGATTTTTTTATAAGGTTGGTTGAACGAATAATAAGCATTTAGTGTTTTACCAATATAAGTAATGTGGAATGTTAAATGAATCTGAAAATAAGGTCCAGTCATGCCACGTGTCCAAGTTGTCAAGGATTTCATTTTACTTGGATCCACCATCAACGCTCATGAAAGCAGCAGTCAAGAAGTCAAACGATGCATTGCATTGAACAAATATGCTGCAAAAGACCTCTTTAAAGGGTTAAAAAGCAAAGATGTCACTTTAAGGACTAAAATGTGCCTCACTCAAGCCATGGTATTTTCAATCACCTCATATGCATGTGAAAGCTGGACAATTAATAAGCAAGGTCGAAGAAGAATTGATGCATTTTGAATTATGGTGTTGTCAAAGAATATTAAATATACCATGGACTGCCAGGAGAATGAACACATCTGTCTTGGAAGAAGTACCGCGAGAATTCTCCTTAGAAGTGAGGATGGTGAGACTTCATCTCACGTAATTTTGACATCTTATCAGGAGAGACCAGTCCATGGAGAAGGACATCATGCTTGGTAAAGTAGAAGGTCAGCAAAAAAGAGGAAGACCCTCAGTGAGATGGACTGACACAGTGGCTGCAACAATAGGCTCAAACATAACAATGGTTGTGAGGACAGCGCAGGACCGGGCAGTGTTTTGTTCTGTAGTCCATGGGGTGGCATGAGTTGGAACCGACATGGCAGCACCTAACAGCAACAACAGCATACTGTGTGGCAGCAGAGCAAGGCTACAACCCAAGCATTTTTTCACATGGGTCAAGTTTTTTGTTTTTTGTTTTTTTGTTTGTTTGTTTGTTTTGGTGTTTGATCCTAGCAATACTGCCTCACAAATCCATTTTTCAAATCCAAGCGCCCACCTTACTTACTCTTGCTTGCCTTTCAGAATAGATTCACCTTCCTGGTTCACATATATCCAGCCTTTATCTTTAGCCTAACAAATATTCACTCACAAACTCTATTACCTCCCACTCATCAGCCCCTACCTCCTCTTCCAACAGATAGATAGACAGATAGACAGATAGATCAATCTGACGTTGAGTCCACTCCAATTCATGGCGACCTTATGTACAACAGAACAAAACATTGCCCAGTCCTGTGTCACCCTCAAAATTAACAGCATGTTCAAGTCCATCATTGTAGCTATTGTGCCAATTCATCTCACCCAGGGTCTCCCTCGCCCTTACTGGCCCTCCACTTCACCAAACATCGTGTCCTCCTCCAGCAATTTATCCCTCATTATAACATGTTCAAAACAAGCAACTCGGACAGTTTCTGTTGTGATCCATAAGGTTTTCATTGGCTAATTTTCAGAAGTAGATCTCCAGGTCTTTCTTCCTAGTCTGTCTAAGTCTCGAAGCTCCACTGAAACCTGTCCACCATGGGTGACCCTGCTGGTATTTGAAATACCAGTTGAAATATCAACAGTGGCCTATCTGCCAGCATCACAGCAACATGCAAGCCCCCACAGTACAGCAAGCTAACAGACAGGTGGCGGCTCTTCCCACAAGCCCTAACTAAAAGATAAGACATAGAGCATAATTATTTTTTGGGCTAATATCTGATTATTTTAAATAGCCCAGAGAAATTTTTAATTTGCAGTTGCCTGTGTAACTGTATACACAGGTGTCTAGTGAATCATTTAAACCTAACAGTCTAGCTAAATGTGCTTATATGCAAAAGTCGGAATCTACTTAAACTTTCTATGTCATGCATCTATTTCAGATATTAATGTATTTTGATTAAAAGGCTCAGACATCCTATTTTATAGTAGTTATGATATTATGTCATGTTTTCATTACTCCATTTCATATATATACATATGTATGTGTGGGTGTATCACTTAATACTTTTCAAAGTTCTTTTATAGACCTTTTCTCACTTGACACGACAATATTACAAGTAAGTAAGGCTGGTAATTGTTATCCCTATCTTGAACCAAAACCAAACCAAACCCACTGCCGTCAAGTCCATTCCTACTCACAGCGACCCTATAAGACACAGAAGAACTGCACCATAGGGTTTCCAAGGCTGTAATCTTTACAGAAGCACACTGCCATATATTTCTTCCGAGGAGCAGCTGGTAGGTTTGAACCGCCGACCTTTCAGTTATCAGCAAGCGTTTAACCATTGTGCCAACAGGGCTTCCTTTTGTTGTTGTTGTTGTCAGGTGCCATCGAGTCGGTTCCAACTTGTAGTGACCCTGTAGGACAGAGT